GCGGTAATTATAACAAGTACCTACTTTTTATTTATTGCTTAGATGGGTTGGACGAGCTCACAGCCCACCTGGTTGTTAAGTAGTTACCGGAGCCTATAGACATCTACAATATAAATACGCCACCCACCTTGAGATATAAGTTCTTCAGTCTCAGTATAGTTACAACGGCTGCCCTACCCTTCAGACCGAAACGCATTACTGCTTCACGGCAGAAATAGGCAGGGTGGTGGTACCTACGCGCGCGGACTCACAAGAGTAGGACCTCTTGTTGGACTTTTACGCTATCGAGAACGTTAAAAAACTCGCGCTGAGCATACAGAACATACGCTTTTTTCCACTGGAGAAAATCGCCGGATTCCCACCCGCACGGCGGGTGCGGTATGTGGGAGTGGAACCTCACTAAAAACTCCTGACGCTCACAGCCGGCGCCCTGTCCCAGCGTCGGGGATATTGAGACGGCGGGAACATACATGATACACTTAGTGTGCTCATACTAATTTGTTTGTTATAAAGCTTTAAGATAACTTAACAGGGATTCAGACCATTTGTTAATTGACCGACGAGGTCACGATGTAACATAGCTAGCTGTCCGAGCCCATAGACTCGCATAATATTAATGTAGCTACTGACCTTGAAACATGAGTTCGAAGTCTCAAAGGCATTATTTAAAGATCATCCTAATGTTCGATCTGAAATGGATGATTGGCTTTCGTTTTTCATTTCACGATTCACCAGGTGTTAAGTAGTTGGTGCAGCCCATAGACGTCAACAACATGAATACCATCACCCACCTTGAGACATGAGTTCTAAGGTCTCAGTTTTTATACTACAACGAGTACTCCGCCCTTCAAACCGATTCATATTACTGCTTCACGGCAGAAATAGGCAAGATGGTGGTACCTATATGTGCGGACTCACAAGACGTCCTACCATCAATGAAGATTATAATTTTTGCGGGTTTATCACGCGATGTTATTCGTTTAGCGTGGAAGTCAATCGTGAACATTCCGTAAGTACATATTTCATTAGAAAAATTGGTACTTGCCTGCGGGATTCGAACACCGGCACGTTGGATCGCTTGATACGAATGCACTGGGTGTCTTATCCTTTAGGCCACTACGACCTGGAAAATTTGGCAGAAATAGGAATAATTGTAAACCTACCCATATAGGATCACAATACATCTTACTATCTAAACAGAAAGATAATTAGAAAATTCTACTGACCCTTCTATGGGAATTCATTTCACGGAAAAAAGTTATTTATCATTTTATTATTCACCAGGCTAATTTTAACTATGAAATGATTGTAATGTAGGGTTGTGAGTTACAAAACAATTTGGTTCAAATTTATTATGTTTGTCTATTTTAATTTAGACCGTCTTTGGTTCTAAATACAACAATTTTTAAACATACTTCTGGAATACTTTACTATTTTTGCGGTAACGGACGACTAAGTAATAAAATGTAAATAATAAGCGCGGATTAGAACGTAAAAGTACTTTTAGTTTTTTTTTTATTGCTTAGTCGGGTGGACGAGCTCACAGCCCACCTGGTGTTAAGTGGTTACTGGAGCCCATAGACATCCACAACGTAAACGCGCCACCCACCTCGAGATATAAGTTCTAAGGTCTCAGTATAGTTACAACGGCTACCCCACCCTTCGAACCGAAACACATACTGCTTCACGGCGGAAATAGGCGGGGTGGTGGTACCTNTTTTTTTTTTATTGCTTAGTCGGGTGGACGAGCTCACAGCCCACCTGGTGTTAAGTGGTTACTGGAGCCCATAGACATCCACAACGTAAACGCGCCACCCACCTCGAGATATAAGTTCTAAGGTCTCAGTATAGTTACAACGGCTACCCCACCCTTCGAACCGAAACACATACTGCTTCACGGCGGAAATAGGCGGGGTGGTGGTACCTACCCGTGCGGACTCCTCTAAGAGGTCCTACCACCACTCGCGAAAACCACATAAAATACAACAATATGCATATTATTATGTATTTTATCTAATTTCGTGTCGCACGTTAAACTAATGCTAACGAATATTACTAAATTCGCATATGTAGTGATTTTCTAAGAAATATTACAGGCGTCATTGCAAAAAAAAGTGGACACAGGGAAGTCAAGAATGTCTGCCAATTTTATTTTTGGTCTAGTTTTTTTTCTCTATTACTATTTAGTGAGACGCATTTTGTAGGATTTGCGATGGAGGTCATTGCTTTTGCTCCCGAAGAAATTGTTTTTATGTCAAAACTAGTGTTGGGATTCCTATGATTTTGAACGATCGTAAATCGATTTTGTTAATGATTATTGTTTGAAACATTTTGCCAACCCCGAGCCCTTGCGTTTCAGTTGTGTTTATGACGGCGACGCCGGTGCAACAGCCGGCCGTGACCGAGTTTGTCGCTCGCAACTCCACGACTATGTACCGCAAACATTATGTCAATACGCATAATATTTTTCAAACAACTTTATTGAATACGAACCGATACTGAATTTCGACTGACTCGGTGGTACAGTAGTTAGTGCCGCTATCTGTTGCGCCGAGGATCGTGGATTCGATTCCCACATCGGACAAACATTCGTACGACGAACAAATGCATTTACTCTTTGTCTGGGCGTTTATTATAAATTTAAGAGTATATTTTTAAACGTATATAAGTATGTATGTGTGTCTCTGGTATGTAGAGGGAATCCTAATTTGGGGTCAGATTACCGTACATGATTTTTTCCCAGTTATTAATTATAATTATTATAATAAGTATTAATCTTTAATCTCTATATATAAAAATTAATTGCTGTTCGTTAGTCTCGTTAAAACTCGAGAACGGCTGGACCGATTAGGCTAATTTTGGTCTTGAATAATTTGTCGAAGTCCAGAGAAGGTTTAAAAGGTAGATAAATATGAAAATTATCGGAATTAAATAAAGTTTAGGCCTTTTATTTATCGATTGAAGCACTGCGAAGTCTGCCGGGTCAGCTATATTAAATAAAAATATACTTTCACAAATAAATGAGCGGTTTGTCTAATACATGATTACAGTTTAAATACACGTTAATTTCTGGCTCAAATTATACAATTTCTATTTACACTACGACCGTTAGAAGATAATTTAGGACTGGTCAATATTATGGCAGTTCTGGCAAGGTTTCATATAAATAAATTCACAGTAAGCGATAACTGGTCCGGGAGTATAATGTGCACCTGAAACTTCTGACGTTTTGAATAATTACAGGTTTCGTCGTATATCGACCAGATATCGAAATATTCTGCAACATTCTGATGTCTACAGCAATATCGACTACAAAGATTTTACTCATGGCATTTTGGCAGGCTGAAAAATCCCAATCGCTTGTTCGTCCATTTAAAGTACGCGTGTGGTGCCGTTAGATTAAAATTATGTAAAGGCTCCTACTCTTATCTCTGGTGTGTGAAATATGCACTTCAAAGCGCGCAACAAAACAATAAAAACCAAACAACTGAAAAATGTTTGTGACAACTATCTATGAAAAATGCAGGTCAAATAAAAACATACTTCAAAAAGTATATAGTCTACAAGCATTTCAAGAATTTACCCAATAAATATTATGAATAACAATTATGAATTAGTAGGTACATTAAAATTTTCTACGTATGTTAAATTTCAATGAACATGAGTTTAGTAAAACGGATAAAAATCTTGCAAGGCCCTGCTAACGCCATCTAGGCAAAGGGAATAATATTCCAAAGCAGTAATTATTATAATCTGAATGTAGATGGCGGTAGACAATAAACGGCATTAAATAATAAACAAATTGATAAATATAAATTAGCAATCTTTGAACAGGTAGGTATGTACTTCATATAAAGAATCAATCTGTCAAAAATCAATCACTAATGATGAGCCATATCTTCATTTAAAACAATGTGAGCCTCTTTAATGAAGTACTTTGAGGACTCAATAGTATTACTATGCTTTTTTTTTATAGATAGTCATATCGTAAATCGACTCATCTCTCAATCCCATTTCATTTTTCACACAACATATGATTCTGAAAAAGTGTATTTTATTTTATTGTTTTCTAATTTAGTCGATTTTGAAAACGATGAATCGAGTATTAGTTTATTATCCATTTTGAACAAAATAACTCTTTTCAAACTTACTAACTTAAGTTTGCAAGATCGTATAATTGGAAATCAAATAAATAATATCGGTTACACATTATGTTCTCTCAAACTAAAGTAAAATGTTGATCGATTAAACATTTTTGACAATAATTTTTAATCTTAGCAATGGAATATTTTCCATTGTATAGATAAATCTTAGGTTTTTCTAATTAGCAACAAAATAATTCGTCTAATTTGCTACTGTAATGTTGATCTTGTGTGTTCTTTGCCTCCCACCTGCTAGGAACCCCAAGGGGTTATACAAACTTCACCGAACGTATAGGCGAGCTCACGGGGCTCACTCAACCTCGAAGACTTTGCTAACATCTACCCTAGCAATGCTTCGCTGAATCTACCACTGGATCGGAATCGCGACCCGCTGCGAAGATCCGGGGAGAAACTCAAGCTATTTCAGTGGCTGAAGGGGCACAAAGAACCCTTCGTCGCACTCAACCGATTCGAAAAGAAAAATGTTGATTTTTCGATGCTTTGTTGACAAAATCCTGTGTTGCTGTTGTCTATGCTGTCGGCATTACGATCGGCGGGAATGTACCTAATTTGTGAAGATATCTTTGTGTTTTTAATAAGTTATTGTTATTGTGTTAAGTTATTGTGATATTGATTGTGATGTGTAATTATTTACACCCTTTTAGTTTCAAAACTCTCAGTAAATTCCCACTGTTTTACTAAATAATTGTCTTACCTCATCTTAATTTCCGTTCACGTCACTTCACAAGTAAGAAGTACCTATATGGCTCGGCCTTTGGTATAATAAAATTGATAGTACTACGGGCTGCGTTTCCTTTGCCTGTTGCTTATACGAATCAAACCAATGAAAATGTCAATAGCTAGTGACGACTGGAATATTATTTTAAGAATTTAGCAAATTCAAATAATACAATAATTTAACTATCATTGATTGATGAAAAAAACTAATCATAAATCATATATTAATTACATTTAAATAGTATATAAGAGCGCTCAACAAAACCTAATAGCTTACATCAAGAGGTTAGCTTATGAATTTGTGGCTTTCATAAGTGAAACTGGAAATGAACACAGAAAAAAGGAACGGCCGTGGACGAGGCAGAGGTCGTGGTCGCGGAAGAGGTAGGGGTAGAGGCAGAGGTAGAGGTAAAAAAGTTCCTAAAGTAATGTCCAGTGACGAAGAGGAATGTTCTGTAGAAGAAACCTCACAAGATGCTGAAGAACCAGTAGTTGAGGAGCCTAAGGAAGAACCCGAACCGGTTGACCCACCCAAACGTAAGTAAAGTAAATATGGAAATAGCGACGTTTTTAATCAAATCAACTTTAAGATTTGAGATATTAGTGTATAAAATATCTATAGTAATTCAATAAATTTACCATTAAAGTATAGTTTGACTGTTAACAGAAAAAAACAAATGAAACATACAAATCATTTCATTAATTATAAGTAAAATTGTGTTATCAAGTTCAAAATTTGATGTAGAGATTCAATAAAAAATTCAAACAGTACAGATAATTGTTAACACAAAAATAAATTAACTCTANATATTAGTGTATAAAATATCTATAGTAATTCAATAAATTTACCATTAAAGTATAGTTTGACTGTTAACAGAAAAAAACAAATGAAACATACAAATCATTTCATTAATTATAAGTAAAATTGTGTTATCAAGTTCAAAATTTGATGTAGAGATTCAATAAAAAATTCAAACAGTACAGATAATTGTTAACACAAAAATAAATTAACTCTAAAAGAGACAAATTCATTTAATATATTCATTATCAAGGGTATACATAAGTCGAATGACACAACACTATCAACACAACAAACATAACCTCAAAGCTATGCATACAAAGTAAACAAGCTGCAGACCAATTATAAATTATCTATGAGTTTATCAGTATTTGATAATACACGACCGCAATGGTAGCATGTATCTCAACAGTCCTTGCACAAGTATGTTTTTAGTGGATTCAAAATACGAATTATTTGTGTTTTAAACAAATATGTAACAGAAAAATGTTTCAGTCAATTTATCTATGTTTTTTTTTTTGTTTTTGATTGAAGTTATGCAATTTCGATATGTGATTTAAAAAAAATACTGTTGTTGAAACTGTTATGCAATTTAATATGATGAAATTGTTACTAATATTTTAATTCAAAAACTTTAATGGTAATAACATTAGTTATAAATTGCAAAAAAAATTAGTATTGATATCATCATTAAATTTAGGATTGAAAAAGGAAATAAATTTGAAACTAAGTAGAAAATGTTTGTAATAATAAAACTGTACAACTTACAGTGGAAGTTCCCTCAGACATATCACAATTAGAAGCACCAGTCTTCACAACTTTGCAAAGAGGACCACCTGAACCGATGCTGCGACTCGATTGGAGCCACCGAGCTACACTTATTGGAGAGAAGGTCTTGAATCCAATGATATACTGCTGTGATACATGCTCCAAACCTATTCTTATTTATGGAAGAATGGTAAGTCAAGCATAATTTTCAAGCAGTTATAAAAATATTATTGTGTATTAATGTATTTTTCTATAGTTTCCTTTACACTCTTGTGAACATATTTTCATAAAACAAATTTACATAAAGAAAATATTTGTGATAACTAATTCATTGTGATTATTTTTCTGTGACCATCTCTGAATAGATGATTTGGTAACGTAATAGTTAAATTAGTACAATCCTCCTAGTGTTATCAGAAACCAATAAATTAGTTTCATTTTGAGCTGGAATTACAAATCTTTACTTTCTCTTTATTCTCAGATACCATGCAAACATGTCTTCTGTTTATCTTGTGCTCGTGCTGATCACACGCACTGCCCTCGGTGTAGAGAGAAGGTAATTTACTTTTAAGTATAATATATTTATTTATTTATAGATTCTGGTGGTAAGAGTTTTTTGTGACCTTGCATGGGTAGGTGCTATTCATACTGAGCATTAATAATGTGTTTTGGTGTGTGGGGTGGGGCTGCTACTTTACTATAAAATGGAGACTTAGAACTATGTCAGGAGGTAGGATGGGATTTAAATTGATGATGTCTTCGGGCTGGGTAACCACTTACTTCTGAAGTCGTTGTGGCCTAAAGGATAAGACGTTCGGTGCATTCGTACCTAGCGATGTACCGGTGTTAAAATCCCGAAGACGGGTACCAATTTTTCCAATGAAATACTTACTTAACAGATCTTCACAATTGACTTCCGCTGTGAAAGATTTACATTATGTAATAAAAATCAAACCCGTAAAACTATAATTTGCGTAATTACTGGTGGTATTGGGAGTCCGCACGGATAGGTACCACCACCATCGTGCCTGTTTTCTGCAGCGAAGCAGTAATGTGTTTTGGTTTGAAGGCTGGGCAGCCGTTGTAACTATACTGAGACTTTAGCGCTCATATCTCAAGGTGGGTGGCGGCATTTACGTTTTACCACCATTACTTAACACCAGGTGGGCTGTTCACATATCTATACAATAAAAATGAAAAAAAAAACAAACCAGATAGGCCATGAGCTCATCTAAGTAATTAAAAATCCATTAAAATATTAAAGCAACTACATCTAGTGTCTTAAGGGCAATCCAATAAACAGTTAACAGTTGTTTTCACTTTTTAAATAGAAATTACAAATATATAAGTTAAAATTTAATTTGCAGGTTCTCCGAGTAGAACAAACCGGTTTGGGCACAGTTTATATGTGCACACATTCCGGAACACGTTATGGCAATACAGGATGCAGGAGAACTTATTTATCGCAGGTAAAAGAGAGAATAGTCCATTTCTCATTTATCTTAAAATTATAATCATTTTCACTAGTATATTGTATAGTATATAAGGAGATCACAGTGAAAATGTTAGATTTATTTTCTAGCGAGACCTACAAGCACACATCAACCATAGACACGTGTCATCCGGTAACACTGAACCGAAAGTAGAACCGGAAACTCCATCTCCTTCCGTACCTGTGGTCAAACCTATTACAGTAAGTACAAAGCTGTATTTAATATGCTAGCACCCGAGATGAGCTCTAAATAGGAGTTTAAACTGTTGACGGAGTTGTCAAAATATATAAGACCCCTAGTCATAATAACATAAACAGCTCTTTGAATTCTTCATTATATATTAATATAGTGTAATTGTTAAGACTGTTTTATATATCAAAGCCTGCTCACCATAACATAATAATATACGTTTCCTATATCATCATATATAATTATACTGTGTTTTGTGTGTCTAAGATAGATCCTGCTCGACTTCTAATCGTAAGCTAATTAAACCTCATTTTTTTATTGCCCTTGTAGTCAGATGAGCATAGGGCCCATCTAATGTTGAATGATTACAATCGCCCATGGACTCCAGGAATGCCAGGGACAGAGCCAAATCGATGCCTACCGTTAATTATTTGTATTATATTAGCTCAGTATCAAAATTGTCATCGTTCCAGCCGATGTCGGTGGGTACGAGCGACCCACGGGGGCACGGCCGACCCCGCACCAACCTCATCACCGTGCCCATACATGACCACACTGACCAGCACAACTATTACAACTATTACACGGTAATTATTACTGTGATGTCTCTCTCCATATAGTATATAAGTATGATTTTCCTACATCACTCTTGTATGTACTAGCAGAGATACATTTTTGTCGATTTTGGAGAATATAAAATTAGCTTTCCTTATGTGCAAAATTTAAATCAATTACCGTATTTAAAAAAGTTGAAAGATAGCTTCGTTTAAGGTACAAAATTTCTAGTCATAAATTGAATAGAGTTTTGTTTGAAATTGTTATAAATGTATATATTAATACGCTTTTATTAGCTTCAGCTAACAACTATGTATGTTAGTATGTATGTAACGGAATCTTTGAACATGATTTTGACCCCCTTCAAAACGTCGGATTAACTCGAAATTTGGCATACTTTTAAGTATGCTGCGGTCATTTGTCACCGGTGCATTGACAGGTGACAAATCAATATTTAAAAAAAAAATAAAAAAAATTGAAAATCAACTAAAAAATGAAAAATAAATTTTAGAAATAATGATTTTATTGTAAAAAATTCCTGGTATGCATGGTATCAATATGAGCAGAACAGATATGAGTAGAAGGGTTATTTTGATAATATCCTGAAAGGCCCACACGCTTTTTTACAATAAAATCATTTTTTCTTACACTATTTTTGATTCAAATTTATATTTTTTTTTATAATTTAGTTTTGGATGTAAACATATTAGTATAGTAATAATAATAAACAATATTTTATTACATATTATTATTTCACTTGTTTGAATGTTGATGTCTATAATGAAAGTTGTTGTTGAGTGCAGCAGCCCCCGCCGTCCGTGACGTCGGTGCCGGTCCTGCAGTCGCTCAGCGTCCCGCCGCCGCCCTACTACGCGCCGCCGCCCGCGCCCCACGCACCGCACGCACCCCACGCACCGCACCCACCCCACCACTACGTGCCGCCGCCCGGTATGACACTTCAAACGATTCTTTTTTTGTTTCATACCTAAGCTTGAGAGCTATGCCAGCGTAACCGAGCGAGTAAGTGAGCTCATGGGGCTCTAATCTGGGGGTGTTAACACTGGCCTTAATAAGAGCAGTTCTTCGCAGAATCTACCACCGGATCGGAAACGCGACCCACTGAGAAAATCCGGCGAGAAACTCAGTGGGCTGTGTGGGTTCGACGAGAACGGCGATCGGTGCTTGTGGTACCTAAAAGCACCGTTAGTGGATCGGGAGGATCTGAAATGACGTGTTTAGGGCGACGTCAACTGTTACCATTCGGTCTGCAGGATCAGGAATGCATTACTCTAAAAGAGCATAAACATGAACGTTTATGCTATAATATGTTGATGTGTATTTAATAAATAGAAAACATTTAGTTAGCAATATTTTAAGTATGTTAACACTGTCATAAACATAATTTCAGGTGGTACGATATCTACAGCAGTAAGCGGTGTGTCTCCTGTCCCGAACGTGACTCCAGCGAGCGGGGAGGCGGGGCGTTGGGGGGACGGCTACTCCGGGAGCTGGCCTCCCCCCCATCCCTACTACCGGTAGCGGTACCGGACCACCATACGCACGCGGTACACCATGCGGAGGTTCTAATCGACGAGAACGTGCGGGTTATTGTCGTGCTTAAACGTCTTAAGTAATAGTGCTGAAACATTCAACTTGTCAGTTATGTGAAATAGAAAACAAAATGTGTACCGAATATTGCATACCGCTAGGTACATCTGATAGACGTGCGATCGTACACGTGTGCAACAAAATTTATAAATAGACAGCAGATTAAATACCTCCATGAATCTTAGTCAAATATTTGTGTACTAAAATTGTGTTAGACAAAAGTGCTACTAAAAATTGTGCAAAATGATTAATATACTACACAAGTATAATTTACACTTAAATGTCGAGAATATGTGTATATGAAGTACTCAGTAACAATGATTACAAAAGTTCTGTGGATTATTGTATTTTCATATGACATTGTGCTCGAATGGAATGTACCTAAGTGCGTAAAAACAAACCAGTCAGACCTACTGAGAAGATCCAAAAATTTAATCTGATTCTTATATTATTACATTTAAATATAAAATTAAATGTGGACTTGTGATGAAATACTACAACATTGTTATTCTAGACATCGGAGAGCAGCATTACTGTAAATAAGAAATGGCTATACTTAGTTGTCCTTGCACAGACGTATTGAGACTCGATTAAATATAACTGAATAATTAAATTACAAGAAACTTATACAATTTGTCTGCTCAATAGTTTAAGTTTCCGTTTTTGGGAGAATAAAGTGGTCNATGTGGCCTAGTGATGAAATACTACAACATTGTTATTCTAGACATCGGAGAGCAGCATTACTGTAAATAAGAAATGGCTATACTTAGTTGTCCTTGCACAGACGTATTGAGACTCGATTAAATATAACTGAATAATTAAATTACAAGAAACTTATACAATTTGTCTGCTCAATAGTTTAAGTTTCCGTTTTTGGGAGAATAAAGTGGTCCAACAACAATGTTCAGGACCTAAGTAGTACCTCGAAATAACAAAATATGAACTTAATTCTTCACAAAAGTAATACACATGACAGACTCTTTGTATCCAACGCGTTCATTGGAAGATGTCAACTTCATTAAGTAATTATTACTCGAATAGTTATGGTTGTATTGTTGTGTAGGAAATTATATGTATATAATAGAATTCAGAATTTGCAACCTTGTTCTCTTTATGAGCTATAGAAGTCCAATAGATTCGCGCGTATTATGAAATAACTTGAAATTGAACAATTTTTTATTTGTAAAAGTGATTTTGTGAAAACTGGATGAGAAACTAGTTACATTTAAAAAAAATTAGGCAGTTTTCGTTGTTGTTAAATACAAAATTGAGGAAAACAGAACGAACCAGACAAATAAAAAATATATATCAAGTTTCAATGTTCTTCATTTAGGATAACTTAATTGATAGTTTTACATATTTTATGTAAATTGTTTTCATTGCATAATCTCGTTTAAACGTGTACCAATAATTAAACAAGAATTTAGAAAGCTAGTGATTTACACAATAGTATTTAAAGACTTTTATTTTATTTTCTTCTATTTTAAAGGGTATATTAATTATTCGTTTATAGTTTTTTTTATTTTAATGATACCATAAAACGAACAGTTCATCACATTTGCTGCAATATTAAGAATAAAACTTTTATTTATTCTATTTATTTTATGTTCAGAAGTATATTTTTGTTCAAACTTAAAATACAGTAAGTAATTAGGTGTACGAAAGACCTATAAAATATATAATTGTCATCTGAGAAGTTGCGAATTGAAAATAAAATATAGTATAAAAACTATAAAATGTACCTATGATTTTATTAAATGAATAAATTTTTATACATTTTCGAAAGTGCACGTAGGTTTCATATTTGGCTATTACTTATAATTATCAGTTAGAATGTAGATTTTAAAAATATCACAGATGCATAGCCCGTTCTTCGCTTCAATAGTGAAATGAAATATTTGTTATTGAATATGAAGAATCTTAATAAATATTCAGTATTTGCAAAAATAATTCTTTTATTTTAGTTACATTTTACTCAGTAATAAACATTTCAATATTATATTTACGAAAAACAGTATGTACAAGTTAGCTAACTGATATGAGTTTTTCTAAAACAAATTAACTCTGAACATCCTACAAAGTAATGTCAGATCACGTCTTTACTTAATGTTATCTTGTTCAAGTTTTTTTGTATACTTTCTCGACAATCAGCTGATATCATGTCTGGAATGGAGCCCTGCGATCACCCCTTTTTTTTTCTTTTCGGGCCGGGGGCCGAACCGCCTACGAGGTCCCCGCGCCTAAAGGACACCCTAGGACAACTTAAGGAACAAGGAAGAAAGCTACTTAAAATAAAACGTTACTATTAAAGGTTGGGATTATTTTATTTAAAAACTAACAAATATTTACAGTTAATTCAAAAACGTACACTCATCTTACCGCAATCAACAAATGCATTTCAATTCACAAAAATATATTTTTTAACAATAAGACATAATATTTTATACACGTCTCCAATCATTTCAATCGTTACCAGACTTTAAAGTACTATTATTGCATTCCTCGAAATCGCGCAAATCCTTCAATAAAAATGAACTATTAAGCATCAGTTTTGAAACCAAATATTTAAAGTTGTAGTAAAGTAGGTATATTAACATTTTAATAATTTAATTCTTAAAATTTCTTTTTACTATCCTAATACAAACAAAAAACGATAATATTAGACACAAAAACCCTCCAATACGATTAGCACAGCGGAGTAAAATAGATATTACATCAAATTTTACATGAAACAAGAATCAATAACATTTACACATAGACATATTACTACTGGACAACTGGTTAAATTATTTATCTGGTTATCTGTAAAGAAAATTTGGGACAATAATTTCACCACAAATAATTATCAGACTGAAGAATTAAGACTAATCTAGATTTTCAAAACCTGTCTTAACAGAGAATCTTAACATCTTTTCCTGAAATACTTTCATATATTTCAGATACATTAGCCAAATACGATGATAATACAATTACAAATGTTAGATTCGTAAAGTTAAAGCCATAGATGTGATTAGTGTCTCTATTGTCGAGATATACAAAATTAAATTTTATCAATATTTACTTGTCACTTGAGCACATAAAAACATGTAGAACAACAATGGAACATTTGTTATAGTTTTTTAAATGTATTTCCTTATTACATTTTGCCTGCTCACTATATAGATGTTTTAAATTCTTTTTTAAAAGCATGTGGAATGTATATAATTAAAATCATTCTTACATGATATAAAAGTAGCCCTCCAAATTAATATAAACCTTATATTCAGATTTTTGGTATGTTATGCTTTTATTATTCATAATGACACATAGAATCAGCTTTAGTTGAAATTTAGTAGCCAAAATGCAAAGAATAATGCCTAGAAACTTTATGCTGGTATTTTCCATTAGCCGGTTTTGACGACAGAACAAACCCAGCAGACAAGGGAGCAAGTATAGCACAGCAAAAGTGCTTCCACTGTTTTTGAAGTATACTTATCCCATTTTTACTATGTTTTTTAAAAATAAATAGAATAATGTAAATGCCATTGACACTTGATAGAAAAATCACAGAGAAACTGAACACTAATACTGCATAATGGGTGGCATATTAATGCCGTGTAGAGTTCAATTTTTTTGTAACTGCTAAGAAAAGAACTACAGCTTTAACCTTCAGTCGCGAATACAATATTAATTCAGGTTCCACATTCAGGCTCCAAAATGTGGGTGTCACACAAATAAATCACTTTTGCACAACACTCATTCTCACTTTGTTTTTATGAACAGACTTATTCCACTTTGTTTTCGTTAAAGATCATGATTGCTTGGTGATTGGAGGTGTTGGGTCTGGTCCGAGATCCACAAGGGTCGCCTCCGTGGGAGGCGCCTGTATACCTTTGCTTGTTTCGGGTTCCGTGAATTGAGGTATCACTTGTGATGTCTGCATCTTCCTAACAGCATCCATGTTTACTTTCGTCGATAAGTTCTTTTGACGAGTTTGCTCAGATGTTTTGGATAGTCTTTCACTCAATGCTTTTAATGCAATTTGTCTAAAACAATATAAGGTGCCATAAAAAAGTGCCTTTATTGGGACAGTAACAAAATGACATGTCATTACCATTAAAAATAAACTACAATAATTGTTGGCCAGTTTTATTGTTCAGATTTTGAAACACTTTAAAACCACTGAATTCTATTTTTTTTAACTATCTAAATTAATCATAATTTATTCTCACCTTCGCCTCTCCATATCTTGTGGTTCCACTCCAGGCATAGAAATTGTCACACCTCGAGGACTAAGTGCTAAGTGCACTCGACGTGGACTAGGTGAACAGAGACCAAGCCGCACTAGACAACGATGCGGTGGACCTACAATAGCTCGGACTACAGGTTGCAGGACTGTTGGAAAGAAGCTGAAACATTTAGTTTTATTTCAATATGATTAGTAAAATTTTTCAAAATGACTATAAATAGTATAGTAAAATATATTTGGCTGAAACATGATAGTGGGCAAGGATAAAATAATATTGATGTTTTCAGCTTTTTTCATGTTGGAATTGTGCAGCGATATGTGTGGTGAACTGTTGTCTTAAGGAGGTAGTATCAATCATGTTCTTGTGGTTCCTCCCATAAACCAACAAATCTTATTGCCTTACATTATGAATGGCCTAAAGCTACTTTTATTTTGAACATTGGCAATTTTAAAAGAAAAGTAATGCACTGCCAATGCAAGCGTTTGAGCCCTTTGGCACAAATCTTTGCCACTGATTATGTAGATATCTTAATAACACAAGCAACTATTATCATGACATTCTATCTTACCCTAGCAATCAGATCTATAATGGCTATACAATGGAAGATACAGACTTAAAAGTATTACTATACTACAAAATAGGGAGCTTTTCTATAGGTATCAACTGGGTTTGAGTAAAAATCAAGATATTGTCTTATTAAGCATATAAATTTCATAATCTGGATTACTTTCAAAATACTCACTTATCAAAACTAAAGTTGTCTGCCATATCTCCCCTGGTACCATTGGTGTGTCTTTGCCAGAACCTTAGATATATCCAAGATAGAATCGTCCCACTGCCCCACATGCAAGGATATGTCCCTTCTAAGGCACCAATAGCCCACAGGATAATAGCCACTATTAGGATCAGTAGTGGTAAAGACCTGTTGGTTAATTTACCTGAAATTTAATACCTTTTCATTAATCAAACTTGCCCAGTCCACAAAAGCTAGATATTAAAGTTTTAGATTTAATTCATTTGTTCAGAAAACTTAGCTCAAATGATTAAGATGATCTTAATTAAATTAATGTATTGTATATGCAATATGAATCATTTAATAAAAAAGTTAAAATGTCATTAATATTACCTACATTTCACATTACTGTCAGTTATTGTGTGTAANCTTTTCATTAATCAAACTTGCCCAGTCCACAAAAGCTAGATATTAAAGTTTTAGATTTAATTCATTTGTTCAGAAAACTTAGCTCAAATGATTAAGATGATCTTAATTAAATTAATGTATTGTATATGCAATATGAATCATTTAATAAAAAAGTTAAAATGTCATTAATATTACCTACATTTCACATTACTGTCAGTTATTGTGTGTAATTTTTTTTTGTTTTTATTTCTAATGATTGGGAGACATTACATCCATGCTACCTATTACTATTACTGAGCCATTTTATAACTAAATGATCAGATTCGCCAATAAGAAGCTAACCATTCCAAAAGGGGATTTATGGTGACATGCTAAATTAATCACAAATCCTAATTGTGGGAAGGAACAAAAAGTAGAAACTATTAAGTGTATGAATGTGCATTAGTTTATTTGTATACTATTGTGAATTTGTATCTTATTATTAGCTATAGGTTTTTACTGATAAACACGCACACAAAAGACTCATTACAGTCAAGTAATATTTCGTTTTAACTACTGTATTTCATAATATTCATAGCTGTATAGCTTAGAGGATATCTAAAAGTTAAGATACACCAATTTCTCTGAAGGAAAAATAAAATAAAATTGTCAATATACTTATCAAATTCATTCGCACCTAGTGGTGTTTTAATCAGCAGATGATCTGGCATGATTTGCTTCACAGCGACACTGACTGCGGCCAGGTACCCTGCCAGCCCGTGTACATGAATGTCGAATAAATACGAGGTTTGACCCGTACACGCAAATATCACTAAATAGTAAAACGTAGTCAAAAACGCTACACCAAAGTTGGTCAGTATGAAAAACTTCATCATTTCCATCTGTCCCCACAGTGGTTCTATGAGTTTCCCGCACAGCCCCACAGTCACAATATCGATGATCACCTCCCACAAATGTATTTCGAGAAACCAGAACGTGAAAGTAGACCATAGTTGAAATGAAGGAGGCAGCAAATACCCTGGAGTGACACTGAGTACATTGACGACATCATCGGAAAATGATAATATATATCCTATAACCACGACCACGCAGATAAACTTTACCGAAGGTGATGTGTTCCCTAACAATGCTGCAAATTGTTGTCGCAAATACGGAAGATTACGGCTAAACACCCTAAGCGCAGCCATCTTTGTGACGGTTCAGACCTTTGACGTTGACAGCTTGGACGCACTTGAGCTTGATAGATGACAACCACAGTAGTAATTTTAGTTTAAATACCTACCTATTAATTCATACCGATATAAGAAATAAATGTACTGGCGTAAAGTAATGTACAGGCGGCGAGGAACTGGCGCTGGCGCCATGGCGGAGCGGTGGTGGCGGCGGCCCCCAATCGCGCTTAGTTTGCACACTCAAACGCTCAGGGTAGACGCGACCGTGCGTATCGTGTTTGCCCACTGAGCTTCTCGCCGGATGTTCTCAGTGGGTCGCGATCCGATCCGGTGGTAGATTCTGCGAAGCACGGCTCTGGCTAGGTTTCGTGTTAGCAACTTCGTCAGGTTTGAGCCCCGTGAGCTCACCTACTAGTTAAGGTTACGCTGATATAGCCTCTCAAGGCTCTCAGGCAGGTAGAAAAAAAAACGACTAGTACTATACGAAATTGAAAATTGTACATATATCATCTCGACTATAAAAGCGTTGCAAATATGATATTAACAAATCACCAGAAACAGAACGGAAGAAGTGAATTGCGAAATGTGAAGTGTACCTACTTTAAATATTCTAAATATTAAATATGGTCATATTTCATACTTTAGTAGAAGTTTTTGTTTATCTCAATCTCGAGAGCATGAATGACAATTACGACTTATTTCTGGTGGTTAGCTGGTGGGGAGCTGGTTTTGGACGGTAGTTAGCTGTGGTTGGGATTATACGATTATACGTATAATCTATCATACGTACGACAGATTATACGTTTCTTGTCCTGAAATTATGTTGCTTTTTTCATCTCCTTTAAAAATAAATAATTGTTATATTAAAATTAGTGGACCGGTGGCGGGAGTGGACCGGTATTGCCTCGTTCGAACAGCTGTTCCGGCTGGCTACTGACAAAAAGGAATACAGAAAGCTAACGGCCAACCTTCAGGATTGAAGAGGCACTGGAAGAAGAAGAATTAAAATTACTTCACATCACTACTCACGACAGCTGAAAGTTCTCAGGATTCGATCGCATTCAGTTTGTCTCATAGGTTTGTCTTCGGTATATATATATTTTTCATTTACTTCAGATTTTGCATCCATATTACACTTCATTGCACTGCATTAACATTTCATTTAACTAGAATTAAATAAAAATAATAACTACAATCTCGGACTAAAACAAAAGCAATAATAATAATAATAATAATAATTATAATGTGTATAATGTATGGTGTAAAGTGTATAGTTTAGTCTATGGATTAGTGTATATAATCTATGATTCTCTTGGCGGCCGGAAAGTGAAGTGACAATTTGTAAATATGTAAATTAAAGAATAATACTTATTAATACATATCATACCATTAAGTGTATAATCTATGATACCTACCTATATAGGTAACATGCACATAGGATTTAAATAAAATATTATTTTAACTGACATTTGGAACCAAACTACGTATCTATTATTAGTAAAAGAAAAACTGTAAAAGAATCTTCTTAAATGTTATTGTACAGGTTGTTCGGGAGTGCTCTAATAGTAAGTTAAATACTGCTATCAATTCATTAATATGTACCTCTTGTAATTTATATAAACATTTAAATATACGTGATCCGTAAAGTAAGTCATCATGCCAAGATTATCAATGTAACTTAGAGCACAATATGTAACATTAATTAAACATTTGGTAGTTGCGTGTAGCAAAACTGTATAACATCGGAACTATGACGAGCAGTATGAATCAATGCAATACTGTGACGCGGTACCTCAATCAGTCAGAAGCGGCAGCACTGGACCAGGATCTTTTCACTGAATACAAGTTTAGTGTCGATCAACTTATGGAACTTGCTGGCCTGAGTGTTGCTAGTGCCATTGCCAAGGTCTTCCCACCCTCAACGTAAGAACGGTTTTATAATACAGTAAAATTAAGTCTTCATTTTTTGCTTTCAATGCATATTAACGATAAACAAATATTTTTAATACTAATTTTTGTTTTCACAGTCACTCATCAGCTCTTATAGTGTGCGGGCCAGGAAATAATGGAGGAGATGGTTTAGTAGCCGCAAGACATATGCAGTTGTTCGGATACAATGTATCGGTACATTATCCTAAACGCACACCCAAACCTTTGTATGAAAACCTTCTGGAACAATGCATAAGATTCAATGTTAATATAATTGATAAATTACCAGACACTAAAGATTTAAATAATGAATATAAGGTACTTGTTGATGCCTTATTTGGGTTTAGTTTTAAACCACCAGTACGGGAAGAATTGAAGCCAGCATTGGATGCGCTAATTGATTCTAATTTACCCGTATGCAGGTAATTTATGTAGTTAATTTTAGAAGTAAATCTTTAGACTTCACCTAATGTTAGATTAAAGTTGAAACTATCATAAAATGCACTTCGTTTTTTTCCCAGTGTCGATATACCTAGTGGCTGGGATGTCGAAAAAGGCCCAGGTGAAGGAAGAGCATTGAAACCTGCACTACTAATATCACTTTCTGCACCTAAGCTATGCGCCAAACCAGAGTTCTTAAGGAACACCAAACATTATTTGGGAGGAAGATTTCTGCCAACTGATATATTGAAGAAATATAATTTAGAAATTCCACAATATCCTGATCAGGAACAAATTGTAAAATTATCTTGTTAAAAATTTTGTTTTACTATGCCCTATATTATAATAAAAACTACTATTATTGTTTAATCTCATCTGTTGTCTCAATTGTTGTCATTACATCATTTCCAACATTTTCAAATCATAGTTTTCGTGGTCAAGCATGAATAAAATGCTATTTGTGAAGCTTTCATGGCAATTTAGAAAAATAGGACAGGTGTTGTTTTTCAGATATTGTGTTATAATTTATTATTATTCTGTATTGAATGTAACAACACTTAAATAACTCTTAAATAAAAGAGATCTTTGAATTAAATATTGCTGTTATCAATTCATATAATAAAACAGTGCAATCCAGTACATAGGAGAAATAACAAAAATAAATATAATGCATATATTGATACATTAATTACTTATTTATAACTAGGGTTAGTGCAGTTAGTAACTTTCACAATGTGTTGTAAATGAATTTCCGTTGGGAACGCGAAGAGCGAAGTTGTGTGAATTGTTTGTTGTATGTGTATGAGGCATAAACGTTGAACAATGCTAGTATTAACTGTCTAGCATCTATAAAAATGGACAAGAATGAAAACATTACACAAAGTTGTTGAACGTGATCTCTCAAGTTTTTTTTAAATCCATCCATTGAAATTGTAATTTCTCGTCATTTTACTAAAGACATTCATTTCATTCCACTCAACATCTACGTTAGGTCACGTCATTTAATCATATTTAATTTTATGCCATTTAAATTTTCATGCCAGTATCGATTCAGTCTTTATTACAAAAGGCTTGTCAATATGAGCTACGTTTCATTTGCCTGTCCGATGGATTCATAAAACGAAAAGTCTATGGTTGGTTGGACAAATGGACAAGTTTCGCGCCTATTCTTCCCGCTACCGAACGTCGAACGGTTACGAACCTACTGCTTTGTCATTTATTTTACACAGTTGTTTTAATTTGTTTGTAAGTTAGGGGTCGCTGACTGCTTAGCGTTATTATTAATTTTCAACAAAATTATTGAAGTGATACATTAAAATGTAAGTATAACAGTTTTTTCTACAAACCTGCCTTAAGCGTCACCATGTACTATTAAAACAAGAGCAATTACTAACCATGTTTCGAATTTGGTACAAATTACATGAAATCTTAGTTTACGTTGAAAGGCGAGGGTCAGCATATGTTTTTATCTGATTAAAGTAGAAGTTCAAACATCAACTTTCAGATAAACATGTTTGAGGCACGTTTACTCCGAAGCTCTATCTTAAAGAAGGTCTTGGAGGCTATTAAAGATCTGCTGACACAGGCCACTTTCGATTGCGATGACAATGGAATTCAGTTACAGGTAAGAGGAACTACTTTCAATTGACTTGAAACAAAAGATATACATGAACTAAAATGAATATTTATTCTAAAACATTCAGCAATTATAACCGTATCTTTAAAAGAGTAAATATTTTACACTATAAGCGTGAAGATTTGAAATGATATGAAAAAAAAAAGGTCACATTAGTTATACTGGACAGGAAGGAAATATATCTATATTTATTTTCAAGAGATTATTCTATTTCTAAACAAATTCAAACCAAGGAACAGATAAGTTGTCTAGTTACAGAAAATATTGAGCAGAGAAGCTCGTTTCTAGAGCTGTATATAATGTTTGGGTATTGTATTGATATAAATAACACTTGAGTGGATCATGGTCAGGTAACAAAAATAAACTAGTACTCTGTTTTAAAAATGATATAATCGACAGGCTATGGACAACTCTCATGTGTCTCTCGTGTCACTCACTCTCCGAGCTGATGGCTTTGACAAGTACCGCTGCGATAGGAACATCTCAATGGGCATGAATCTAGGCAGCATGTCAAAGATTCTCAAATGTGCTGGAGATAAGGATACAGTTACAATAAAAGCACAGGATAATGCTGACAATGTCACATTTGTTTTTGAGAGCCCAAATCAAGAGAAAGTCTCTGATTACGAGATGAAGCTTATGAATTTGGATCTTGAACATTTAGGTAAGTTTTGAAATTGTGATTTTTTAAAATCCATTTTGATAATGAATTTAAAGCTTAAAAATTTGCAATTTGTCTGTTTTGAAATTGTTAAAACATTGGTGACCAATAATTTTGATTTCATATTTGAAGTCTTCTGGTTGTATGTTATATTGTAGTTACATGTATTATTATCGCCCTATTTCTTACAAAATATTAATATTTAAATTATTATGTATTCAGGTATTCCAGAGACTGAATACAGCTGCACTATTCGCATGCCAAGTTCTGAATTTGCTAGAATCTGTCGGGATCTCTCACAGTTTGGAGAATCAATGGTGATTTCATGCACAAAAGAAGGTAAATACCATTAGTTATTTATTGTGTATGCAATAAAAATGCAAAACAAATGACATCCCTTCATTCCAACAAAAAATACAACATAGAAAATAACCATGAGTTAATAAAAAAATAGGTTAATCACTCAGCACAACCTTAGAATAATTATATTAAGAATATTAAGCACTATGCTATACTAAGTACTGTGCTTTGCTAAGGCTGGCTTGGTTTGATTCAGATTACAAAATTTGTGCATGTGAGTGTTATATATTTCTTAAAATTTTTGCAATTTATCTAATGGAATTTCATCAGAGATTTCATTTAGGTTATTCCTATTTTGGTTGTTCAATGCCTATGGGGTCCAATTTGATTAGAAATAAATCTACTTGATCTTATCGCACTGTATCGCTATCCTTAAATGATGTTGTACAAGTCTTTTACATTGATGGTAGTTTTAGAAGTAAGTGTTAGTAATGCAATAATTTATTTATTTCTATTTACATTTAATGCACAGTTTTTAAATAATTTGCTTAATTGTATTTTCGTAATTAAGAAATATCATTCCTTTACACCACCCCACTAGTAATTCAGACTTCAAGCTTATTTCAAGATGGGTGCTGACATTTACTCCTGTCGCCATCGCCCTAAACACGTCATTTCGAATCCCCCTGATCCAATATTGGTACTTTTAGGTACCACAAGCATCGGTCATTGTAATCGTCGAACCCGTCGCTTGCGACGAAGGTGACACAGCCCACTGAACTTCTCGCCGGATCTTCTCAATGGGTCGCGTTTCCGATCCGGTGGTAGATTCTATGAAGCACTGCTCTTGCTAGGGCCAGTGTTAACAACACTCCGGTTCGAGCTCCATGAGCTCCAATTTTTCATAACGCGCCTAAAGAAGTATAACTTCAAAAAGAATAAATGTTTTCAGTAGCAACTTAATGTAAAGGGTGACTTGTTCAATAAAATAAGATATTTGATTAAATTATTATATTATTTAATAATAATATAATTTAATAAGAAAATGAAATTTCAGGAGTAAAGTTCTCGGCAACAGGCGACATCGGCTCAGCGAACGTCAAGCTGGCCCAGACCGCTTCTATTGACAAAGAGGAGGAGGCAGTCGTCATTGAAATGGAAGAGCCCGTCACTCTGACGTTTGCCTGCCAGTACCTCAACTATTTCACTAAAGCTACTTCTCTCAGCCCTCAGGTAACTTGTCCAGCCTCTTCTTGCTCAGCACTGATTGTTTGGTTAAAGGATATCATAAAATCACAGATTCACATGTGGAGAAACTGATCAAATTTATTTGTATTTTTTTTCTTTATTATTAGTCTTTATTTATTATCCAGTTATTTTTGTTTATACTTTGACATTATCAATGCCTAAGGCGTTTGAGACATTAAAAAAAAAAGAAGTGTATAATAGCCACTGTTAGTGCCATTACAATATTGTATTTGTGGTAAGCTGTGTTGTGTCGTCACTTGTTGCAGTATGATGGTGTTACATTACTGTACTTAGTTAAATATAGAGTTTGTGCCTTAAGATGTATAATTCGTTTTGTAATGAAGAGAAGGATTGCGGTTATATCGAAACCATCGGCATACCGAACTGTCCCACGGTTACGGCGGAGCTCCGATAGTCGATAGGGGTCCATGGGCTCTTCTGTCCAATCTATCACAGTGTTAAACTAGTTGTTACTGGTATTTTCAAAAGCTTCTTGTTCTTTCAGGTGCAGCTGTCGATGTCAGCAGACGTTCCTTTGGTGGTGGAGTACCGCATCCCGGACATTGGCCACATCCGCTACTACCTGGCGCCTAAGATTGAGGAAGAAGACAGCTGAACTGAGACTGTGCCGTTTATTTCAATCCGTTCAATTTAAGGATTCATTTTTTATTATCATGTAATATTCCTGCAATTTCTGTACACAGTGTGTATTCAGACAGAATTGTGATAGTTATCTGATTAAGGCAATAAAATATTTTTCGTAATTAATTTCCTTTTGTTTTATTATTTGAAATCATTTTAGTGCGTGCAAATTCCATAAACTTCATGACGATCGATTGACTCCCACGCGTCAATGACCTATGCCAGTCCAGCAGTTTTGTCAAAATTTGTCATAATAACCAGGGAAGCCAGGATAAAAAAAAAGAGTGCGTGTATTTATGTACGCGCGTAAGAAGTTATACTTTATTTTTATTAAATTTATTTCTTTTTTTTTTCAAATATTAAATAATTAATAATAAATATTTAACGTTAAAAAATGCTAATGAATGCTAATAACACTTTTTTTACGAGTGTACATGCGCGAAAGTTCACTTGCGGCTATATTCACTCTTCAAGTTACGTCGGTCGTATTGTAATGAGCGATTTAGTGGGCAACTTCATTTCTGTTAATTTTGTGTCACGGTGCGCGCGCATCGTAAAATTTCACTCTCATCAATTTTTCATAACGCGCCTAAAGAAGTATAACTTCAAAAAGTTCGTTTTGATTCTGTACCGCATAGACAATTGTTCAAAATACTTCTGTCACTAAAATCCCTTCGCGTCTCTACCACTAACCGCCGCACACATGAACCTCTCCACGGTGTTCCCCAAACGACATGAACCTCTTCAAATAGGGTTCGAAAAGTTCTCGACGGTACGCAGCAGTTCTTACTAAAGCAAATAATCTAGATAATATGTCTAAATTGGAAATGTCATCATCTCTAGACTCAAATAAAAAACATGTACTTGGTATGTCGAAATCTTTATTTTACCACGTTCTGAAAATCAAACAGTTAAATTTCACTCATTCAACATGTTTTACATGAGTATTTGAATAAATTATAATATTTCTACGAATATTATTATTAATAATCATATAAAATATTCGCCAATCGCAGCTGTGATTAAAAATGTTTCACAATTTTCGACTTTCGAAATACTTTATATTTACGCTAACTTAAATTTCGTGGTCGTCCGTTAGTTAACACAAAAACGAATCTAAAAATATTTTGAAAATATCTAAGATGGCGTGTGCTTTAAACGGTCTTCTCTTCTGGAATGTTCTTTAAGTACTTATATTAAAATCCACACCACAACGTTTTCGAACCGTGTGAATTGGAATGTTTAATGCAATAAAAGATATAGTTTACAAACTAAAAGTTACTCTTTAATAGTAAAACAAATTATTTTTCTTCGTCATTCAGGATTTTAGGCCAATAAGATTATTGTGATGTTATCGGTCCGTGACGCGTGTGAACATTTTCAAGATAATATTGGTGAAATTTACATTAAAAAATATTTCGTTATATATTTGAAATACAAGGTCAAATTAATAAAAGCGTGCTAGAAACTAAAGTGATATTATAAGACAATAATAACTTAATTCTAAGTAATTACTTACGACTTACAAATAAATACCGCAGCATCTAGATGATAAAAATATCTACATGTTTTAGCGTGCTTCGATTGCAGAAAGATCAAAATTATTTTAATTTGACTCAAAATTATTATAGGAAAAATACTCGTCAATTATTACGCGTAAAAATTTGAAACATAGACAATGCGATTTTTAATTATAAAACTTAAAACGAATTTATTTCAAACACAAATAGCGGTTCTTAACAGAGACTAGAATACAAATCGCTTAAATTTAAAATTTAAATTAAGAAAATACATTAATGTGTAGCTTAAAAATTATAGATAGTTAAACTTGTAAAAATAATTGTAAGGAGGGTGGGCAGGATGTCGTGGAGATAACCGACCGACGCAACCTCGCACCGAGACGTTTCCACGAGCACAACAGTAACTGTGTACTTAGTACGGGTTTTTTAACGTTTTCGATAACGTTAAAGTTAACTCATATTTGTTGCAGTTGGAACGTTTTCCTACGTTTGCCATTAGGGGCGCTGTTCCAACTCTATACAAATCTACGTAACTTGTTCGCTATCGAGAACGTTAAAAAACTCGCACTAAGCACACTGAACACGTTTCACACTTGTCTAATGCCTTAGGATCTTTATGATTTCCAACGTTCGTTGCGACCAAATGTTCGCACGCGGTAACGTTGCTATTCATACTCATCACCCAAAAAAAACCCTTCTGTATATCGACTATTCATAGTGCGAGTTTTTTAACGTTCTCGATAGCGTAAAAGTTAGTTCATATTTGTATGGAATGAGATCGTCTGTCTACGTTTGCCGCTAGGGGCGCTGTTCCAGCTGCATACAAAATTGGGCTAACTTTTACGCTATCGAGAAAGTAAAAAAACTGGCACTAAGCGTACAGGGGTACATTGGGCACGAGTAGTACAAGTGGTAACGGCCGGTGCGGCGTCAGGGGCTCCCTTCACTGCTTCCACTTCCTGGCGGAGAAGAGCACGGCGCGCTGTCGCAGGAACAGCGAGTAGCTCTGCTTGCGAGGCTCGCCGTCGCCGGAGCTGTTCACTCCGCGGCCTCGCCCTGTCCGCGGAGAATGGTCAGTGTGTGCTTAGAGCCAGTTTTTTAATGTTCTCGATAGCGTAAAAGTTGGGATAGCGCCTCTAGCGGCAAACGTTTCAAATCCATACAAATTAGAGTTAACTTTTACGCTATCAAGAACGTTAAAAAACTCGAGACACGAATACCGTCGAATACCACGTGGCAAAAAGTTCTTCTATTTTTATGAAATATGTAGTGTCACTGATCTTTGACTTGAATCAGAATGGCTTTGATAAATGTTCTTTGAACTAGATTTAAACTAGATTATGGTAGGCAGCAGCTTGGCTCTGCCCCTGGCATTGCTGACATCCATGAGCGACGGTCACCACTTACCACCAGGTGGGCCATATGCTCGTCTGACTACAAAGGCAATAAAAAAAAGATCCTACTCTGAATTGTCAGCCTATAGACATGATAATTGTTTTAATGTGTTAAGTCTCAATTTTTTAACTACGCAAATTATAATTTTGCGGGTTTTGCGGTGGAAGTCAATCAGAAAAATTGGTACCCGCCTGCGGGCTTTTAATTTGGTTTAAGTTGGTAGTAGGACCTCTTGTGAGTCCGCACGGGTAGGTACCACCAACCTGCCTATTTCTGCCGTGAAGCAGTAATGCGTTTCGGTTTGAAGGGTGGGGCAGCCGTTGTAACTATACTTGAGACCTTAGAACTTATATCTCAAGGTGGGTGGCGCATTTACGTTGTAGATGTCTATTGGCTCAAGTAACCACCTAACACCAGGTGGGCTGTGAGCTCGTCCACCCAGAAAAAAAAGCAATAAATAAATAAATAANAACCTGCCTATTTCTGCCGTGAAGCAGTAATGCGTTTCGGTTTGAAGGGTGGGGCAGCCGTTGTAACTATACTTGAGACCTTAGAACTTATATCTCAAGGTGGGTGGCGCATTTACGTTGTAGATGTCTATTGGCTCAAGTAACCACCTAACACCAGGTGGGCTGTGAGCTCGTCCACCCAGAAAAAAAAGCAATAAATAAATAAATAAATAGCAATAAAAAAATAAAAAAACCGAACACCGTTGCATCGCTAGATACGAATGCACCGGACGTCTTATCCTTTAAGGCCACGACGACTTCAAAGTTAGATAGACCAGTTATTATTTTATTAAAATAGATCGTGTACAGACCTGCCCGCCCTCCTCGTCTTCATGGCTCTCGCTTGGCGGGCGCGACGCCGGGCTCGTCGGCCGCCTCGTGCAGAGTGCGCAGGTGCCGGAGCAGGTTCGATTTCACGTTGAAGCCTTTGTTGCACAGTCCGCACACGAACGGCCGCTCCCCTGTGTAAGCGAAACGATTACAAAAACTAAACACATCTTTATTTTATTTTATTTTTAATGCCCTTGTAGGCAGACGAGCACACGGCCCACCTGATGGTGAGTGGTTACCGTCGCCCATGGATGGACTTCAGCAATGCCAGGGGCAGAGCCAAGCCGCTGCCTACATCTACACCAACGTGTGCTCTTAATCTTAAATGAGGCCGTCAGCGCAAAAGTGGCCTAACCCACAATTCATATTCATGCTTATGTATTGCGATTTATTGAAAACATAATAAATTTTGATGCAAAATCGACCTATCCCTAGTTTCAATCCATAGATAACAAATGACTTTGTAAAGATTATTTTATCGCGTTTTTTTTGCCTACGAAGTATTGTAAAGATAAATTCGAACCTCATTATCTCCATACTAACTATGGTAAGCTTAGGCCACTTTTGCGATGACGGCTTCAAATGTACTAGTAATTGCACAAGTAAATATACTACACCTAACAATTTGTTGAGAACTTTCAAGTACCATCATATCATTATTATAACATACCCTACGATTAAGACGTACCTACGTATAATTGATTTTGTAAAATAAAAACTTTAATTAGATTAGATTAGATTAGGGATTAAAAGTTCGCTTTAAATTTTATCACAAATTTTGTCTCGCAGCAATAGCATCATTATTAACATTATTGACAGTACTACAAAATAGTAATTTATCAAGAATGCTTTCCGATTTGAATGAAAAGTCGTTATTGTATTGTACTCCAAAAATATTGCAGTTGGGTATTTTTTTGTATTTCTCGGTTAAGCTCAATCCGGTGTGTAGCCAAACCGCAATTTAAGTATATATTTTTTGTTTTTTTTTATTGCTAAGAAGGGTGGACGAGCTCAAAGCCCACCTGGTGTTAAGTGGTTACTGGAGCCCATAGCCATCTACAACGTAAATGCGCCACCCACCTTGAGATATAAGTTCTAAGGTCTTAGTATAGTTACAACGTCTACCCCGTCTTTCAAACTGAAGCGCGTTACTGCTTCACGGCAGAAATAGGCAGGGTGGTGGTACCTACCCGTGCGGACAAACGAGATTACACAATCACAATTCGAACAAGAGCGAGTGATTTAGAATGAATCAACACGTGAGAGCTGCCATATTTGATTCAGTTTGATTCAGGAAAAACTGGTTTCTTAATAAAACATTGACCTATAATGATTGCACACAGCTTATGACATTATGGCTGGGGTTCGTAATTAATCAAAGGTATTCTTAAGATACGTTTGCATGGCACTTGTCAAATACTTAAGATCTATATCGGAACAAATGAATGAAAAGTGTACATACCATACCTGCTAAAATCTGAAGTTTTTTTCTTTGTATTTAAATAAAAAATACACTCTCATCTCATTAATTATAAATGAAAGTTCTTTGGGATTTTTATTATTAAATAAATTGATAACTTTGTACAACTAAATTAATTAACAAAAAAAAACAAGAAAATAATAATCGGGAGACAAACGAAAAAAGCGGGTAAGTCTACTTACTTGTGAGCTATACTTTTTTGGAAGACTAATATGCCGAAACCATTTCTTGTGAGTTATTCAAATAAAAAATAAAATACAATACAGCATACAATTATTATGACCGAGTGATTTTAATACATTTCGCGACAACCCTTAATTCAACTTGGTTAATTTTACCATCAGCACGCCAAAAGAGTATAACTCCCTATATTACGAGCTTAATAATAAATAGAAAATACCTATTATTGGTAATTGTAACGTTTATTTCTTCAAATTTTATTGCATTGAGATCATTCACAAAGTAAACACAATTCGTTTTAGCTTAACGTATTTAAAATCGATTTTCGATAATATTTCCTGTTGTACCTACCACTAGAAATGACAAATACTGTGGTTCCGAAATTTCTTATCATAATTGATACGTAGTACATACATCAAATATATTAATTAAAAATATATATCTAATTCACATTTAAACACCATCCAAAATTAGGCGGATATTTTCTTCTACGAACAATAGGCGATGACCTACTATATCAATACAGGGTGCAAAGAGAACGTGCCCTGAAGGAACTACCAAATCTAATCCAACAGTTCACCTGTATGCTTAGTGCGAGTTCTTTAACGTTCTCTATAGCGTAAAAGTTTACCAAATTTTGTGTGCAGTTGAAACAGCGCCCCTAGCCGCAAACATAGGCAAACCATCCCCATTCCATACAAATATGAGCAAACTTTGACGCTATCTAGAACGTTAGAAAATTCGCACTTAGCACATTGGTGCTGAGCGGTTTAAGGAGCCCATAGACAACGTGAACGCTGCCAATCTTGAGACATGAGGTCGTAATCTCGGTTGTATTGTATAACGGCTGTCTCATCCGTCACACTGGGACGTATTATATTTTTGTACACCCGAAATTCGCTCTAGACAGCGGAATCACGTTAGCCGATTTTTATTTGCATTACATTACGCGCAAAGTAGGTACCTACAGTACATTTTTTCGACAACTGGTTTCTTATATTGCCCTTTATAACCACAACATCCACCAATTACATTTCAGGAACGATGTCATCACACCCTGCACCGACCAGTAAGTTAAGTGTATACAATATTACGTCGAATAATACAGACAACGACGACATTCCCTATTCGTTATCCATTACCTAGTTTAATACTCAACAATATCACCAATAGATCGTTCAATTCATCACAGTTATCCCTATAATCGAGATTATACAACCATACATGTGATATGATATGATGATACAATCCATATCGTTCTGATCACAACCTTCTTTCACGGTGTTTCGCCTAAGGTTTGTCTGCGAGATATTGCTTTAAGCAACATGACAAGCGGTTGTAATGTTTGCAACGTCTTGTTATTCAAGCATTTTTCTACTACTACTACTACTACTACTACTACGACTACTATATTTATGTCACATCACTACGCTAAAGACTAGATTCTAGTAAATTACTGTCAATTAGGTACTAAATACGGTTTACTATCAATTTGTGTGTTTGCTTTGGGGTATCGACTTTAGGTCAACTATTTAATGAAATCAATTATTTTTCCTTTCAAAATGCTCGTATAGATATTTGTTGAAATGAAATGTAAAGTATCTCTTTGTAATATCAGAATTACTGCTTTACAGTAATAGCCAATGAAATCGTGTACAAAAGTGTGTGGATAGCTGATACTTTGAGCAGTAGCCATTTTAATTAAAAACAGAGATAGGCTTCCGCGCCAAATTAAATATCTATTCATTTGAGAACAAAATCCGATTTAAATATGATAGTATAATTAATATCAGATAAAGTCACAACAAAACGCGTCAACTAGACGAGTCATAGACACAAAATTACTTTTACGATTTAATTTCGCACGTTTATCATCATTACATTAGTTCGCGGCACGCGATCACGTAAACTCTAAGTAGGTATTCGAAAAAGTCAGTTTTTTTTTATTGCTTAGATGGGTGGACGAGCTCACAGCCCACCTGATGTTAAGTGGTTACTGGATCGCATAGACATCTACAATGTAAATGCGCCACCCACCTTGAGATATAAGTTCTAAGGTCTCGGTATAGTTAGGCGGGGTGGTGTTACCTACCCGTGCGGACTCACAAGAGGTCCTACCACCAGTGATTACGCAAGTTATAATTTTGCGGGTTTGATTTTTTATTACACGATGTTAATCCTTCACCGTGGAAACTAATTGTGAACATTAGAAATAATTTAATGACAATAAAAAACGCGAGATTATACAGTTGAAGTAGCCATAATTATGTCTACACAACTTTAAAATCGATTAGAACTTGGGAATATCGATTTTATGCATCTAATTTCGTTGCTACTGTTAGTTATATCCGATTATCTAATCAACTACTATCTACTTTTAACTGCCTACTAAGTTGATGATCAAGACGAAAGTGATGCCACAATTTGGCACTAGTCCTGGACTCAAGGTATACATTAAATTTGGAAGAAAAACTTATCCCTACTTCAATATAATCGTCCGTATACAGAACGTACTAAGCTCGATCTAAATCTGCGTTGCATTTTGGACCTTAAGTAAATAATACTGCACGTTAGATTTTATCTTCACGTTTTTCAGTCTCGCCAAACTTCTTGTTTTCTCCTACCCGACTTCTACAAGCCATTGGGTTCTTTGTTAAATAATAATTATTTTAATTTCGAGTTGTCGAATTCCAATTGTTTAAAGTCTCTTCTCAATCGTTCAACGTTTTAATTAATATGTCATCTTATGATATTGCTTCAGAGACCCTTGTCGATCATCGGTTTGAGACGTAGAAAATAATTGAATTTTTATTTGTATATAAACATGTTTCCCGTGCTATATTAAATATGTTCATCCTCTTCACTCAAAGCATGAATCTCACTTTGACGCTTTATACTGCGATTTAAATCCCAAGCCTTTAGGGGTTGGTTACGGTTTTTTTTAGTTGGCACTTTTTTTTTTGTTGCCCTTGCACTTATGTAATTTGATGCATAATTTATACTCGTCGTTATTCTCTGAGCGAACATTCTCTCGATATTCTGGAGGAGAACGATATCGAAAATCAGTTGGAGCTTATTTACTGTTCGACGTTGATTCGCAGTTTTTATACGATTTCTTAAATTGACGACATCGCGCTGCAGTCATTTGAATTTTCCTTTGAATTTTCCCTGTACTTTTAGTTCCAGATTGTCCCGGACCAGCTGTTTCATTGTTAGTCTGTCCTACCACGGCACTTTGGTTACTGAGCTGCCCTGACCCAGCTATTTGATTAGTGGACTGTTCTGGCCCAGGGTTTTGCTGACGAACATTATTACCAGACGGTTCTAGCGCGGCGCTTTGATTATTAGGCTGTGCTAACGCGGCGTCCTTATTGCTGGTTTGCCCTTGGACAGTATTCGTGAGTAAATATCTTGAAGCTGAATTTCGCAGATCAAGTTGAACAAAAATAGGTTGATAAGCTGCATTCATTTGTTCTTTGTTGATGATGGTCGGACGATTGAGATACTCGTAAAGTACGGGATAATTGTTTCCGAGCAGGCGGACTTGATTGGGGACCACGGGCTGGCGGGGTGGCCGACTGTCCGACTCACTGTTCTCTGGTTTCTTCTCTTCGGCTGTTCCGATCGGTTCTTTTACAAGTAATGCACATTCGGTAGCTCGAGCTCCTTCAGTTCGCTCTGTAGATGTCCTGGGCTTTGGAACACCTAATAATAATGATAAAATTAAGGTTTTTTAAACGGTTTTAGTACACTTCCAAAACTAAAAAGAACATGTTTGGGCACGTTAGAAGCTTTCCGATGTTAGTAACGACAAGCAGACAAACTAGGTAATGCGAAAGTCACAGCCGAGACTTAAACAAAAACCCGTTATACGATCTCGAGGAGCATCGATGGAATCAGTTCATTCCCGAGCAGTAGTAATATGTAAAACGCATTATATCTAATATATTATTTTCTCTATCTCTTCGTTGAGTGCCGAATACCAGACAGGACCTTCCGCGACACTGGGATCGCCGATGATCCGAACGTCGCATCTTCAGATCCGGTCAACAGGATACGTTTGAAAGCGGCATTATGTAGCTGAGGCCTTAAGCATTGTTGTGATTTCATGGTAATCTTGCGCGCTAGCTTTGCAATGATTTTCGATTTCAACCTTTTGAAATGAGCACTGACTGAGAATTATTTAATGAAACACGCAGCTTTTTCATGATATTAGTTTGGTATACATGATTATTTACAAAGTCGATTGATTAAAGTACTTACTGTAATAACTTATTTATTATTTCTACAAGCTATGTATGTACAGTATCAATTATATTTTAATTAAAAATATATTTATTTCAATTCAGGAACAACTCGCGGAACCATAATATTGTAGTATAACAAGGTGATCCTTTTAATAGATCACTATTCGCAACCGAATTCGATTACACCACGAATCACGTCCGATTTTGAAGAAAAAAAAAACAGTTTTAGGAAAAAGTTTGTCTGTGGTAAATAAAAAAAAATCGCCAAGGAACTTTCATTTTAGATTTATCTGTGCACGAGACAGAGTACGCACTCACCTGTGTGCGTGCGCATGTGTATGAGCATGGACGCGTGTGACGGGAACGTCTTCTTGCAATGTGCACATGTCTTGTTTTGCGCGCCCTCTGTGAAACGATTGTGACGTTTTGGTGGGGCACTGTTGTTTGATATGGCCAATTCTAGACAATCGACAACCAATTTAGAACACCGCCCATTCGAATCACAATCAATAACGTTATCGATTTTAAAATCGGTTATTAAGTGGGTAACAACAACAAAAAAATCGATTCGTGAACATAACTGAAGTGATTATCATGAGTGTAGCGGAACGTTGGACGTGATCGAGTCGATTCGGTTTTAATTTATGGGATAGAGTTTAGGTTTCGATGTTCGGTTGTCGAGAATCAGCCATTTACAGCCACATACATAACAATCAGCATTCAGCTATGTCAGTAATAAGCACACCGATTACAGAATTAATGTTAAATAAATAGGAGGTTACACAATTGAAGACATGAGTGGATGAAGGGGTTAAGTACCTTATTTAAGATTTTTGAGTTTTTACATTGAATGAAGGTGTTATTTACCTATAAACCATATTAGACCTTAAGACTCCGGGCTTAAAGGCTATTTTTAGAAATTGCATGTGATGAATAAGAAAAGTACAAATAACAAAAATTTTAGCCCATTTTCTCAAAATTAACAAATTGTATCATATCCTCTTCATCCGCTCATGTCTTCAATTACAATAGATCAAATCTAATCAGTAACACATGCGAGGTTCCTTGTTTAAAACAATATATTATAGTTACAAACAGGCATCACATCGTAATTAATTAGCTTGCGTTATTATCTTATTTAATTATTATTATGCTCCGTGAACCATTTCCCAGAGAATGTATATAGATATATCATTTTCAAATATCAACTCGAATCTTTTTTAAGTTAAATATCAAAACACACATTTGTTGAAGCAAACATTTTATAAGCACGAATTGTGAATTCCACTACCATCGGATCTCGCAAGTAAAAACTCCAGAGGAGAACCGGCGAAAGAGATGTATTTTCGTATTACTAAAAAACTTTTATAAGAATTCGTGTAGATTTTTTTTTACACGAACGAATCTACCCGAGGTATGATGCGGCGTCGGTTCCTTAAATTAGTTATACGAATCTTATATATCTTTATAATTTTATTTATGAATTCGAGCCTAAACAAATGTGCGCAAACTTTCATTTGTGGAACATACTGGGAAACAATTCCATTAAAACACTTATGAAATAATACAGGTAGGTTGAACAAAGAAGAATCGCAAATAATAATTAAAAAATCCAAGAAAAACCAATGGTAATCTCGCACATAACAAAAATATGTATATGTATATATAGGATACAGCAAGGGAATTTAGCACAAAAATCTACATATTTCCTTATAATTAACTTAATATAATAAACATCGATTACAAACTGTAGGTGTAGTGTGGGTTTTAATATACTTTTTGTCTATTAGTAAGTCGAAAATGGCACAGAGCAATAATTATTTATCGATTTAAAAAAAATAAGGAGGTTCATAATACGACTTTTTATCTGTATTTCCTTCGAATTTTTTACTGGTTACTCCTTGGGTGGGTCTTTGAGGGGCAGGCGTGCGGGGGAGCTTCCAGAACAATCAGTCCTTCAGTCGATATAGAAAAGTGTTTAATTCTGTTTACCTCAATTACTTATCTTTAAGTTAATTGTTGATTGTTCACACATCATTAAGCTATACTATAAACTGTGACAGTTTTAATTCGTTGTATATTTTCTAAAGTACATGTTACAAACGCACACCAGACCTACAGCGTTAGACGGTGGTACGGCTAGTGTGGTCCACGCACCTGTTTCGGTGTGGGTGCTCTGTATGTGCCGCACCCACTGCGCTGGGTTCGGGAAGTGCTTCTGGCACAAGTCGCAACGCAGCAAGGCCATTGTCTCCTCACCCTCGTCGCCCTGGATAGGTCACACGGCCCAAGTCAGTGACGGGTCAATAAACCCGACAGGTTCTACTAGCGTCGTCCTTGTCGGACCTTATCGGATCCCTCAGGTCTGGTTGTCGGGTCCAGCAGAAGTCACATACGCACAGTGATGGATTTAAGTTTTGATACCACTCTAGGCCCTTATCGCATCGCTTTTAACGTTAGAATAAATTTTATCAATTTTTAAAATTCAAAATAACTTTTATAACTTTCTTTATAAATATTAATCTAAGCTCGTTTTCAAAGGAGACTTTCTTTACCCTTTAATCGTCTCTGAAATGTAGGTATTTCAAAAATTTTACCGCCTTGCAAATCATGCCGCCCTAGACATGTGCCTCGCGGGCCTAGTCGTAAATCCATCCCTGCATACACATTCAACATACTTCCCATCTTTCCTGGTACGTTTTTTTTATTGCTTAGATGGGTGTTAAGTGGTTACTGGAGCCCACGGACATCTACAACGTAAATACGCCACCCACCTTGAGATATAAGTTCTAAGGTCTTAGTATAGTTACAACGGCTGCCCCACTCTTCAAGCCAAAACGCATTACTGCTTCACGGCAGAAATAGGCGGGGTGGTGGTAGGAACCTACCAGTGCGGACTTACAAGAGTTCTTCTTCAAAATCTATTTCTACGTGGATAATGTATGTTTGTACAGTATTTATGAGGGACTTCAGTATCTGCTAGACTGGGGTAGTGAGTTATTTAGTGCAAGGGGGTGCGGCGGGGCACGTACCGGGGCGCGGGGAGGGCGCGGCTGGTCGTGCGCGTGTCCCTGCACGTGGCGCACCCAGGCGGCGGGCACCGTGAACACCTCCGCGCACAGCTCGCACGCCAGCGGACTGTACACCTGCAGCAAACACGCACACACACACTTCAACACACGCACAGTTTCCCTTACAGCCTATCCTAGTAACTTCGAAGACCCGTTCTGGCCGAGCCCTTGCTCGCCCACTTGTTCTTGTGAAACTGGAAAGGTCTCCGGGCCAGCAGTAATTCTTATATTAGTTCATCTGACGTGTAGACGAAGCTGACGAGCTCACTCTAACAAATTTGTTAACATTGGCCCTAGCAAGGGTGCTGCTTCGCTTAATCTACCATCGGATCAAAATCGCGATCCGCTGAGAAGATCCGACGAAAAACTCGGTACGCTATGCACTCACAGGAGACCACTTTGTCAACTGGAATAAGAGTCTTATTTCTGTTATTTTAAACGGAAAACAATTTGCTAACTATGAATATTGTAGTTTTGATCGGTCGAAATTTGGTGAGCTTGCAAAAGTAAAAAAAAGATCACTCCCCAAGAATGCCCAACGTATTTAAGTGAAGTAGTAGGGTCATACATATCAGCTGCGTTTTAATTGTATTGTGCTTAAAATATCGTAACACAAAGAGCTCGGGCTTTCCCCTGACTGCAAGACTGCAACTGCACCATCGAGACAATTTTTGGTTCTAATAAACAAGGGAGGTAAAAGCAAATCTTTAGCCTCTATCACAAAAGGGTTACCTCAAGTGTGACAAATACACTGAGAATACCTATTATATGAGGCCATCAGCGCAAAAGTGGCCTAACCCACATTTTTTAATATTCAAGCTTATATGACGTATATTGGAATTTATTTAAATTATAATAAATTTTGATGCAAAACCGGCCTATCCCTAGTCTCACCCATAGATAACAGATAGCTTTGTAAACATTATTTTTGCGCGTATTGTTTCGAAAAATCAAACCTAATTGCCTCCATACTAACTAGCTAAAGAGCTTAGGCTACTTTTGCGCTGACGGCCTCATATATGTCGGAGAAGGTCATTAGTTTAGTAGCAAAACGAAGCACGGCACGATTCCCGAGAAGTGACAACACGATCGTAATGTCGTCGAAACTCGGCTAAACTCCTTCGTGCTACGACAGAGCTTAGCCGATGGAGGCCCGTAGATGCCATCACACTTACCAACCAGCCTTCTTGAAGAACGGTGCCTCCATTCTAAGAATTGTCATTCGTTTTCGTTTGCTAACGTCAAAAGAAGATTGCTAAATTGTTTTAAGATAGCAAACGTGTTTTGTATACTCAATATTTCTCTTAACTCGATCACCCTAGCTATTCGCCCTTATGTCTGACGATGGTCGTAATAATTCGGTCGTCCTGATATACGTAGCAATCATCTATTTTTGTATATGACACCATGGATCATTGTTAACTTTTCCTGTGATATTATGGTCTAAGCTCATAGTCTCATGATAACGATAAGGACTAGTGTGCTTTGTGCGGGTTTTTTAACGTTCTCGATAACGTTAAAGTTAGCTCATATCTGTATGGAATGGGATCATTTGCCTACGTTTGCCGCTAGNCGTCCTGATATACGTAGCAATCATCTATTTTTGTATATGACACCATGGATCATTGTTAACTTTTCCTGTGATATTATGGTCTAAGCTCATAGTCTCATGATAACGATAAGGACTAGTGTGCTTTGTGCGGGTTTTTTAACGTTCTCGATAACGTTAAAGTTAGCTCATATCTGTATGGAATGGGATCATTTGCCTACGTTTGCCGCTAGAGGCGCTGTTCCAACTGCATACTGCATTTCGGTAGGCAGCGGCCTGACTCTGCCCCTGGCATTGCTGGAGTCCATGGGCGACGTTAACCACTCACCATCAGGTGGGCCGTATGCTCGTCTGCCTACAAGGTCAATAAAAAAAAAGCATACAAAACTGCCTTAACTTTTACGCTATCGAGACCGTTAAGAAACTCGCACTAAGCACACAGTATTGTTAGATCGGGTCGGGTAGTCTGTTCTTGTGTCTCACCAGGCTGTCGTCCTCGATGTCCACGTCGTCGACGGGCTCCGACTTCACGTTCATCTCGGCCTGGAACATCTCCGCGATGGAGCGCTCCTCCTCCTCGATGCTGCTCGCGTCCCATTCCGGTTCATCTTTTATCTGAATTTCAGTTGTCGTCGTCTCTTGAGCGCTTTGATTTGATTTCTCTGTAACGTTATTCACATTTTACAAACTGTAAAAAAATTGACTCATGGAATAAAGAAAATAGTAAAAAATCCCATGCTATAAGGGATTAGGCTAAATCAAATTAGACTCCAGAGAGACATCGTGGCCCAAAGGATAAGACGTCCGGTGCATTTGTATGTAGCGATGCACCAGTGTTCGAATCCCGCAGGCGGGTACCAATTTTTCTAATTAAATACGTACTCAACAAATGTTCACGATTGACTTCCACGGTAAAGGAAGTAATAAAAATCAAACCCGCAAAATAATAATTTGCGTAATTAATGGTGGTAGGACCTTTTGTGAGTCCGCACGGGTCCATCACCCTGCCTATTTCTACCGTAATGCGTTTCGGCTTGAAGGGTGGGGCAGCCGTTGTAACTTTACTGAGACCTTAGAACTTATATCTCGAGGTGGGTGACGCATTTACGTTGTAGATGTCTATGGGCTCCAGTAACCACTTAACACCAGGTGGGCTGTGAGGTCATCCACCCATCTAAGCAATAAAAAAAAGACATTATCTCGATCCTGGCTAGTGAGGTACAAGCGAGAACTTACTTGAGCATTCAGACACATTGTCAGCGTTTCCTCCGTCATCGTTATCCTTAGCATCTTCCTCTGTATTTCGTTCAGTCTTCTGCCTTTTCCCGTATTTCTTTTCCGTGACGTGCCTCCTCAATATCCTCGGTGGTGGACTGTCTTCGGACGCCTCCGCTACTGGGTTGGCCGTGCTCGTTGCTGCAGTGGCGGTCATTGTGGTGAGGGTGGGGGCGTCAGATGTGGGTGCCGGAGCGACTAGTATGGTCTGACCCTTCGGTGCACAGGGACGTAAGGCGGCTTGGGTCCCGCCTTCAGTGGTCTTAATGAACACCAGCTTTGGGGGACCGATGAACATTGGTCTGAAAAATCAAACAGCAGATATGTCTCCTTTGCTTTATTTTACACTAGCGACCTGCCATCGCTTCGCTTCGGAAACTATAATTTATTATTGATTTCTTCACTATTTAATGGATGTTATTATACATATAAATCTTCCTCTTCAATCACTCTATCTATTAAAAAAACCGCATCAAAATCCGTTGCGTAGTTTTAAAGATTTAAGCATACATAGGGACAGATATAGGGACAGAGAAAGCGACTTTGTTTTATACTATGTAGTGATTAATCATAACAAAGTTAAGAGAAAATTTTAAAGAATCATAAAAGAGTTTTATATTCAATAAAAAAAAAGCGAATTGTTTTCTATTCACATATTTACTGTATATTCCTCCAATTTATTTATATTAAAACCACTCACCTTCATGAAGAATTTGCACAATTGTTGAGTTGACATTCAACTATAGATTAATTTACCATTTAAAAAAAACACAGCGCCACTTTACTTACTTTCAGGTTTTCCTCCAAAAAGGGAAGAACAGTTGCCATTACTGGATACAAATTTGTACTTAGGTACTTAGTTCAATACAACACTCTATATTTTTTAGTTTCTTTTACTTTTCGATCGAATAGACTAGGAAGTAGCCCACCTGATCACACTGAACTTTGAAAAACAGTCAACATGTAAATATAGATCCTCACCTGGTTATTCCCTGTCCTGCGCCTTGAACTGGTGTGAAGGTTTTCAAGAGCTTATCATCTTTCTTCACGGCTATCTTGGCCTGTCCCTCGTCAGGCTTCTTGGGCACGATTTGCTTGTTCACGCTCGCCGATGGCAGGGTCTGGTTGAATGTGCTCTTGTCTGGGGGCTCCGTGGAGGCGCCGCCCTCGTCGGTCTGACGCCAGAGACCGCGGATCTTGAGCACCTCGCCAGCTTTCAGGACGGTGTCCAATATTTCATTTGAGACTGTCGTTTCGCCTGTCCAAAAGAAACGTTAATGTATAATCATTAACACGTTGACTGCCATGTAGGTCACCGGTGACCTACGCGGCGCACTGAAATAATTACGCCGATTTCTCCCTTCGATTTTCTTACTAAAGCGCCAGAATATCTAGTAGACTCTGTAAAAGATGAATCCTAAGACACAGAATTAATATATTTCTAAGGACCTAAAAGACTAAAACATACATTGACAAACAAAGGGAGGGATAGTTAGGCAATCAAGGCGCTTAGTAACATATACATAATATATTATCGGATTTGTGAATTTAAACCATCCAAGGCGCTACCCAAACGCATACAAATAATTCAAATCGGTCCAGCCGCTTAGGAGTTCAGTGACATACACACATACAGTAAAATTATTGATACATAAAAATTTTAGAAAATTGTATTATAAAAAAAAAAGTCAATATATATATCTTTATTTATATGCAATAACCACAAATTGGATAACTAATTTTCTTGTGAACGTTTTTTATTTATTCCCTGCCTATCCCTTGGCTGATGACGATCATGAAATAATACGACTCGCAGCTGACAAAAAGTTTCGTTATTGCTTCAAGAAGCAACCGAGCGTGCGGCTCTCATAATGGTAAGTTGCCGTTCTCTGAGAATGAGTTGCGTTAGCTCGGCTACCAAATATGTAGTTGGAATAGGCGCTAGAGGCCATTAGCTATTTAAGTAAAGACAAAAGTTGTTTCCAGGTTCATTGATGAGAAGCTTAAAATCAATATCCAGTTAAATGAAACGTAAAAGATTACACAATAGCTACAATAATAAACACCTTATATTATATACTAGCGACACGCCCTCTTTTCGCTTCAGAAACATTAAATTTTATTATTGATAGCTGAGTCCCACAATGCTACCCGCTGTTATTGTCGTACCGCGGGTAACGCTGCGGGGCGAAGCTAGTCTAAAGTTACTACTTGTATCACCAGCTGCCTATCAGTGAAAGTCTGGTCAAAATCGTCGGTCCAGCCGTTCCAGAGATTAGCCGGAACAAACAGACAGACAGACAAACATTGTAAAAAATGTTATTTTGGTGTATGTACCGTGTATATATTCATATGCATGTAGTAAAAAGCGGTTATGTCAATATTAACAAACAGAGACACTCCAATTTTATTTATATGTATAGATACCTTTATACATGTATTCGACTAAAATCTTCAGGGCCTTCGTCGATATTTCCGGCGGAAGCACCACGTACAGCATCCCTCCCATCCTCATAACAGACCTCTGGCCCTCGAACAGACCGCTCAGGTACACGCTGCACGAACTCAGTATGAACTTGTGGGCCGGTATTTGCGAGCCGTCCATAGTGCACAAGACGACGTCGGTGAAACGCTCCGAACGCAACAGAGCCGCCACCGAACCGTTCAAATGCGAACTGTGCGAGTGCCATTTCAATTGATATGTGTCCGTCGAAGTCATTGTTCTTTCCAAGTCTACGGCATCTGTTCAAACCATTACGAATTATAATATAAGAAGCGTCGTTTTGTTTACGTGGTCACTTTATGATCAAGTCGGCCATGATTGGCTTATTGTTGAACGGTTGCCATGGTTACGGTTTTGTTTTTAACACGCGTAATTTGTTTCGTGCCAGTATCGGGTTTAAGTTGTATTTAAATAAAATTTATGTAATTTATAAGTAAAAGCCTTATAAAATTCTTATATTATTGTTTACAACAAGATTCTAATAGTAAGCATTCTCAATAAACAAACTAAATTATTAGACAAATAAAAACATTAAGCAAAAGGTAAGAAGGCAGAAATAAAAAAAAAAAATATGTCAAAAAAACAAAATTTGAATTTCACATTTCCGTTGAATCAAGGCACTGTTCAAAATAATTACCTTAAAACCGACGATTAACAAATTAACGATTAACTTTCTTATACTACACAGAGAAATCAATTAACTATTAATTATGATTATTAAATTTCAATATGGTCGAGCGCACTAGATTATTTGAACATAAACCGCGCGCAACCACCGCGTGCGACCCTCGGTTCGGTTGTGCGGCGGCTGCGGCTCTGAAAATCGATGGAATCCGTATTGATCCAAGCCGAAAAGCGGGGTGCGCGTTTATCTCATCGATCGAGGGCAGAGCGCGGAGCGTCGTCGGTGCCACGCGCCTGCGCCGTGCGCGATTGACGCCCGCCCTGCCGCATCGCCAAGCCGCCCTGTTCACGCGCAAATTGCCATCTCTTTAATTCCCTACTCTACTCTTAATTACTGGTGGTAGGACCTCTTGTGAGTCCGCGCGGGTGGGTACCACCACCCAGCCTATTTCTGCCGTGAAGCAGTGATGCGTTTGAAGGGCAGTCGTTGTAACTATACTTGAGACCTTAGAACTTATATCTCAAGGTGGGTGGCGTATTTACGTTGTAGATGTCTATGGGCCATAGCCGTAATAACCACCTAACACTAGGTGGGCTGTGTCCAACCATCTAAGCAATAAAAAAAAACTTTTTTACGGAAGCCGAGCTCACAGTGCTGTTACTAAGCGAATACCGGGGTCACCATCCCCCATCAACGGTAATGGCTGACCTACCTTGAAACGCAACTTCAAAGACAGGACCTCTTGTGAGTCCGTACGGGTAGGTACCCCACCTATTTCTGCCGTGAAGCAGTAATGCGTTTCGGTTTGAAGGGTGGGGTAGCCGTTGTAACTATACTGAGAGCTTAGAACTAATATCTCAAGGTGGGTGGCGCATTTACGTTGTTGATGTCTATGGGTTCCAGTAACCACTTAACACCAGGTGGGCTGTGAGCTCGTCCACTCATCTAAGCAATAAAAAAATATATGTATATACTGTACGTATACATTATACAGTATACGACTTCTTCCGTTGATCGTTTACCGAAAGATAGGGTTGTCAGTTTTTTGTTATGTTTAGAAATTTATATTTAGGTATATTTAGAAATACTTTGAAATAATCTTTTATTGACCCTATTGTGGTGGATCACTGACTAACTCGTCCGATTGGTGGTGGCATGCTTCGAATTGTTTCTTCTCGAAAATCGGCCACAAGAAATAAAGCATATCGGCGTACATATATTTCTTTGTCTTTTTACTAACACTTCCAGCCGAAGCGGTTTTCATTCTAAATAATTCTTTACGGTAATAATCTCTTATGTTCGTCCACTTCTTTTTCAGATCCATACCTAAAATTAAAATGTTGAAAATGAAATTAATGTTTGTATGTGTTATTTGTTATTTTGAGGCGTTCACGCATCTTTAATCGTGAAAGATACTTTATATTGCTACCACAAACATAGTGATATTAGTAAATCATGAGAATTTCGTATTAAAAAAATTGTTAAATATTATATTATTGTATACGATAATATATTATTAAGTGACAATCAATGCACGGTGACTGGCAAGAGCTGGATGAGAGAAGCCGAGAATCGTGCTCAGTGGCATGAAATTTTTTTTTATTGCCCTTGCAGGCAGACGGACATACGGCCCACCAGATGGTGAGTGGTTACTGTCGCCCATGGACTCCAGCAATGCCAGGAACAGAGCCAAGCCGCTGCCTACCGTTAATTGCAGAGAAATATGTCCAGCAGTGGACTGTTACAGGCTGATGATGATAATAATGATGACTATTAGTTCTTTTCATTTTACAAGATGTTATAATGATATTCATTCTACATTAGATTATCAATGCTCTCATTATTCCGCAATCAAATTGTTACATCTGTGGGTCTTGTACTAGGATTTGTAAGCCCTCATTCGCACGGGCGTTTTAAAAAAGTTGAGTTAAAATTCGGCGTTGGCGCTTTAATAACGTTCTCGATGTGACGTAATCTGTAACGCCCAACGCTTAGCGCTCAAAATGCAACACTGCGCAATAAAAAAGCGTCGCGTTTTAAAAGCGCTGACGAATGAACATATACTAGGAAATGCATGTGTCCTATTTGAACGCTTTTTTAACCCGCGCTAAAAAAAAAACTTCCGTGCGAATGAGGCCTAAGTAAAAAATTATAATACAAACATACCATTCTGTCAAAAAATTACCGGGAAAAGATTAGTAATTCATAAAATGTTAGTTTTTCATCCAGATTTATTTATTTGATCGCCTTCAAAAACGATACATTTACGCCAGAGACTAATCCGATCATTAAAACCGTTTTAAGCGCTTTTTTCGGATAACGCTTTGTTACTGATGGTAGGACCTCTTGTGAGTTCGCAAGGGTAGGTACCATCACCCTGCCTATTTCTGCCGTGAGGCAGTAATGCTTTTCGGTTTGAAGGGTTGGGTAGCCGTTGTAACTATACTGAGACCTTAGAACTCATATCTCAGGACGGCAGCATTTACGTTGTAGCTGTCTGTGGGCTCCGGTAACCACTTGACACCAGGTGGGCCGCGAGCTCGCCCATCAATCTAAGCAATAAAAAGAAATAAAAAATTCTGTTCTCGCTGCAATTCTTTTTTATGTTTTCTAGTTTCTACAGATTGAAAAGTTTTGCCATGAAGTGATAATTTGAGTTTACGAAAAATAAAGAAGTCAGATGGAGCCATATCTGGTGAATAAAGTGGTGGCAATTTAGACCACAAACAAAGCCCACTGAATTTCTTATCGAATCTTTTAGTGGGTTGTAACTGCAATGCAGTGGTAGATTCAGCGAAGCACTGTCCTTGCTAGGCCTAGTATTAGCAAGTCTTTCTAGGTTGAATCTTGTGAGCTGCCAAACCGCGCGTAGATTGAATAACCCTGTGTCGGGTAGCCATATTACAACACAAGATATTTGACAGATGCCTGAAGCTCGCTTACGACATTTTCGAGATAAGCTTGCATTTAAAAAAGTTCCGAACAACACTCGTACCGTCGGTCTACCGGGCACATCACCCGCTCAGTGGGAGATCTTCTCTTCGTCGTAATATCCACAACCGCTTAGGCTACCAGCAATTAGGTAGGGAAAAAAAACAATAACACTAGACTACATAGCCGTGTAAGCTTAAAACAAAATAAAGAACAGCATTTTCAACGTTAAATATTTATTGGATGGTCCCAGCGCACCTATAGATTATAATGAACACATAGGTCTAGTATATAAAGATGGATGAAGCCAGAGTCGCGTGACTAGATGTAATACCAAGTTAACCCATGAAATCAAGTATGAGTCTTTGAATTTCATATCAGATAACTATTAAAATAATCTTTGGCTAAATAGGGATTTTCCAGGATATATTTAAGTAAGTACCTAGTATTTACAAAAGTGTCCCATTATTAACTAAAAAAAATTTACTCGATAAAGCAGTCTTTAGTTACATTTATGTAACGGCATATATGTAATTATATATTATTATCACTTCAGTTTTTATTTGACTGTAGGGTCTGTAGGTAAGTATGCAAGTAAGCAACCGGTTGAAGGCCGCGATAATCTTGGCGGCTGGGCTTGGGGGGCGGTGACTTGGAGGAGGCCTATGTCCCGAAATGTAGGTACGTTTGTGGGCTGATAGAAGATATACAGGTAAGTACTGTTACAGTACACTGAAAGATCTGTCTCGAAGCCCAGAATAAGTTAATGACCTGTCGAGCTCTTTAAAAAACCGATAGCGCTAACCCACATAAAACGTTCGGAAAAATGGCGCGATTCAATAATGATTCAAATTAAAAATCAGTGACAACTTCCTCTCGTCTATAATATATTATATGAATTTAAGTTATTCATTTGAAATACATAATATATTCGATATAAAACTTCAGTAACATTTTAATCATTATATTATTAACGACGTTTCGAATATTTTTACTGCTGTTGTTTTCAATGTACACTCGAGCAATACGAATTAATTACTTACAAATTGTAAGTAATTAATTGGAAGTAAATTAAATAAGTAAGTAAATAAATTAATTCGAAGTAAATTGTAAGTAATTAATACGAATTAATTACTACTAGTAATTAATACGAATTAATTACTTACAAATTGTAAGTAATTAATTCGTATTGTAAGTTACAATCAGTATCATTGTAAGTTTTAAAACCGCATATAAAAGTGACTATGGTTCCAGATAATATGAAGAAGATTATTATTAATCTTTGATAAAATTCTAGATGCCAGCTTGGAATTATTAAATTTTATTGTCTAATCACGTTAGACGTAATCATTAGATATTGTAGGATAAAAATCGCAGGTTCACCATGCACGGTAGCGCGGTCCGAGAGAGGGGAAGTTCATTGAACCTAATTGTAGTCGGGTTTCAACCCTCGCCTAGTAATTAATTCTGCTTTTGTTGTTTCACTTCTAGGTACGACATAAAACATGTGTTGTGTTGCGGGCGTTTTTTTTTTAATTTGGGCAGCTCCTAGACACGATAAAAAAAATGAAGCAAGTACGAGATGAAATTGCAAATCTCTCTTTTTGGTTCTGTGTGTTGACTTCAACGAAATAAAATGAAAATTTCATCGATCTAGTCGAACTAAATTAGAATTAATTTATTAATGATGAAACAAAAGCTACTAGTGAGTTTGTGATTAAGTTTAAATGACACCACGTGTGAAGCATCAGTTTTGAATTTTAAAAAAAGATGTGTGGTGTCGTGCGACTCTGGATAGGAACGAAGTTCCTTATTATAAAAATATTTATTTTAAGTTCTATTTGAGGTATAAAGAAAATAATTATTTGGGTATACATTTTTCATTATGATTTTTTTATTGATAAAAATTAAAAAAAACTAATTTATTATTTTTTGTACGCTATTACAAAGTTAAGTCGTACACTATGTGCATTACTAATAAAAATCTTACGTTACGGACGTTTTTTCCCGGTTAGGGTACCTCTCCGCATCGTTGCAACTTCGTTCCAAAAAGTATCAACAAAATCGATTCATCTGGAAAAAAGTTCGTCGGGTGTTTTATATTTTATTTATTTGGCAGCTGTGGCAAACGAGCATGATCGAATGATTTTAAGGGGATATCGTTGCTCATGGACTATGTTAATGCATTTCTTCTCAGTCGTTTGCATTTTTGACAGAGTGGTCGTGGTCATCAGTTCGGGGAACGAATAATGCACTCCGCACTCTTTGTTTATAGATACGTTAAAGCACCGTCACGAATTTACCTGTAACTATTGAACACACTTATTTATTTTAATACTAGCTGACCCGGCAGA